CTGTGCCTTCCTTGAGACGGCTTCCTGCTCGGCCCACCATGCCCATGTGTGGGTCTGAGGACACCCCACAGGCCTGCAGGCTCTCTGCCCACCCCCCTGTGCCTCCCCTGGCAGTGCCCCGCCCCTGCACAGGTCAGCATGGCATATGAACAGAAGCAGGCGCCATCCCAGCGGGGATCGGGCTGGGGCGGGGCAGAGGGGCTCCAGCTGGTCTCTCCTCTCCCCCTGTAATCCCAGGGAGGCCGTTCAAGTACCTGTGGACACCTGGGGGGTCATGGGGCGGAGTCTCCAGCGGTACTGCTGGACGTGTGTCCCCAGCTGAGCGGGGAGATGGACCACCGCCTCCCTGCCCAGACTCCCACTGGAGAGCCTCGTGGGTGGCTGAGACGGAGGCCCCCAAGGCCACCCTCCGGAACAGCGGGTCGGAACTCGGAGGTCAGATGGCCTTGGCCAGGTTACTCTGCGCGGCAGCCGCGGGGTGCCCCCGCCCCCGAGCATCGAGATGAAGGCCACAGGACTTTGCGTTTCTCCCCGAATGGACGGGGACGCCGAGCACAGCAAGCGGAGAGGAAGCTGTTTTCCTTTTGAATTCCCCTGAGACGGCTGGCGGGTGACTCTGCCGGCTGGCGGGTGACTCTGCCGGAGTCAAGGACGCAGCGGGAGGGCTGGGGCGTTCGTGTGCGGCTGCAGCCGCGGTGAGCGTGTGTGCCGCCAGGAAGCAGCCGTCCTCCTGCAGGGCTGGCCCTGTGACCACACGGCTGCCCCTCGGGGTGGCTGACCCAGCCACAGCCTCAGAGCGGCCCCCCGGGACGGCACGTGGTGGGGAGAGCGGCATCGCCCGGCGAGGCGGCAGTTCAGCGAGTGTGGGAGCCGTAGGCTGTGTGCGGGGGCCGGACTCCCGTGCTGGCCCTCCCCAGGAACTGCTACGGTGGTGCTTGGATCCGGAAGACCTTGGTGGGCTGCGTGAGGGTGACTGGAGGCCCCCACGGGTCCACGGAGCGGGGGAGCCCGTTGCCGGTGCTGCGCCCCTGGGCCGGTGACCCCCGGTTTCCAGCAGCCCCTCCAGCTGCAGGCCTGGCCCCCCGCCTTTGCTCTGGCCGCAGTCCTCTGGCTCGGCCCCGCGACCTCTGTTTTCCCCAGCCTCCCCCGCCTGGTTCTGGCTGCGCGGCCTCCGGGTGTTTTTGCAGGCCCCTCTGGCGGGGTGGGGGTGGGGAGTGACTTCACGTGGCCCTGGGCCCAGGGGTGCGGCGGGGCCATGCGGTTCGTGTGCTTTGAACGGAGTCTGGTGGTGCATTCCAGTAGCCGGGTCTGCAGAGAATTTGTCAGCCAGTGTTTCGCCCTTGATCTCAAACCCAGATGTTGTGTGAACAGCAGAAGAGAGAGGGAAAAAGAAACACCCTGGGCCGCCTGGGGAGAGGCCCTGGTTTGGGGGCGCAAAGCCGTTAGAACCGAGTCGCCACGCAGGCCGCCCCTGCGCTGCCTCTGGTCCCTGAGCCAGGGCCGGCACGCAGTCAGTGTCAGTGAACAGGTGTCCGCCTGGGCTTTACCCCGTCCCTGACCGGTCCCTCTCAGGGCCGGGGCTCGGACCCGCCGCCTCTGGGGAGGGCTCAGCTCTGCATCCCTGGGTCCTCTTGGAGCCCACAGTGGTGGCCGTGGCTGGGGGTCTGGGGCGCCCTTTGCCTCTGTCCCTGCCTGCACTGCGTGCCCTCGGAGTGGGTCTGTTGCTGGAGACCTTGACAGGTGGCCACCAGGCCAGGGGCAGCGTGGTGCTCTCGCCAGCTGGGCGGGGTGTGGCCAGGTTTCCGTGGAACCTCCTGCTGGACCCCGATTTCTCTCCCTCACAGCCTCTGTCGTTGCACAGTGAGGAAGGAGGCTGTCACCCGAGTGGAAGGGAGAGTCCCCATGGGGTCCCAGGGCCGGGCGGCACAGCGGGAGGCCAAGGCTCTCTGCTTCCCTTCCCCCGCTCCCTGCAGGCGTCCGGCCACCTCGGTGCCAGCTTATTTATTTTTTTAAAAGATTTATTTATTTATTTATTTATTTGAAAGTCAGAGTTACACACAGAGAAAAGGAGAGGCAGAGAGGAGAGAGAGAGAGAGAGAGAGAGAGAGAGAGCTTCCATCTGCTGCTTCATTCCCCAGTTGGCTGCAACAAACAGAGCTGGGCCAGGCTGAAGCCAGGAGCCAGGAGCTTCTCTGGGTCTCCCACGTGGGTGCAGGGGCCCAGGGACTTGGGCCATCTTCCACTGCCTTCTTGGCCACAGCAGAGAGCTGGATCAGAAGTGGAGCAGCCGGGACTCGAACTGGTGCCCATATGGGATGCCGGCACTGCAGGCGGTGGCTTTACTCACTATGCCACAGCACTGGCCCCAAGTTTCTAGTCTTGACACTACAAATCTACCCTGGACCCTTCTTTTTTAAGATTTTTAAATTTATTTTAAAGGCAGAATTGCAGAGAAAAGGAGAGACACAGAGAGGTCTTCATCCGCTGGTTCACTCCCCAAGTGGCCGCAACAGCCCAGGCTGGGCAGATCCAAAGCCAGGAGTCAGGAGCTTCTGCCCGGTTTCCCAAGCAGGTGCAGGGGCCCAAGCCCTCGGGCCGTCTTCCACAGCTTTTCCCAGGTGCCTTAGCAGGGAGCTGGATGGGACGTGCAACTGCTGGGCATCTAACCTCGCTCATGCGGGACGGCGGTGTCGCAGGAGACAGCTCAGCTACGGTGTTGGCAGACGGTGCCACCGCATGGGCCCCACCAGTTGACAAAGGGAAGCTGCTGTCGCAGTCTGGAGCGAAGCCAGGGTCCAGGAGGCGCTGTGGGGCGTGCACACGGCGCGCTGACCTGGCCCACGCTGTGCACGGGGCGCCCGGCCCCGTGTGCTCCCCGGGGCCCTCCCCACGCACGGCCGCTTGCCCTGCTCTGCCCCGCGGTGCTGTTTAGGTTGTCATCCTAAACAGGCACATGCCGTGTGCTAGGCGCTGCGTGCCGCGGACCGCGCCGCCCTGACCCCAGCACAGCCTCGAGAAGTCGGGTGACCGTGACCCGGTGACGCCAGCAGCGTCTCTGGTTCCCGTGGTGGCTGGCGGGCTGTGCCACAGTGTCTGTGCCTTTACTGCCTCGGCAGGGGAACAGTGCGTGACCCTGGGGCTGTTCTCTGATTGCCGATGGTGTGTTACGGCACAGCCCTCACGTGGCAAGCGTTGTGCAATGGAGTGGACCTCTGAGGAGCAGTTCTAGAAGTTTCCTCCAGACAGGCAGACTCCGGCGGCAAGCTCCCAGCTCATTGCTGCTCTCGGGCTCCGTGGCTCTCGGGGGCCCCGGCGGCTTGTTTGGGGCTGCTGCCCGGGCTGTGGGAAGAGCGAGTTTACGGCAGGGTTACCCTGGCGTTTGCTGGTTCTCCGTGCAGCATTGCAGGGAGGTCTGTAGATCGGGCAGGCGCTAGGCGGGGCCTCCAGCCCAGGGCTGCCCCGTGTGGCCTTCTGCACCTGGTGGCCATCTCGCGCGCGCCGACTGTGCTGCGGTTAGAGTAGCCTCCACCTGTTAGGACTCCCCAGGGCCCTGCGCAGACAGGTGCACGGGTGCCCACGGCAGAATGGACGAGAGATGACTGCGGGAAGACTCCTACCCCAGAAGGGGCCGTTTCAGCTGGGTCTGCAAGGAGGAGGAGCCTCCAGGCAGGGAAGGGAGGTGGCGTTCGTGCAGGGGTGTGCACACTGGGCGTGTTCAGACCCGGGGAGGGGTGTTGGACAGGGCAGCTGTGGCAGGTGTGTGGCACCGGGTCCCAGAGGGCGTGGGCAGCTGAGGAAGGGGTCTGAGCTGGAAGCCTCTGGAGCATGAGTGGGCAGCGCGGGCAGCAGGTGAGAGGGGTCAGTGGGGGCGGGACCTGCTCCCACGGGCAGAGCCCTCTGTTCCCGGGTGACCCCCGGGCGGCACAGTCACGGCACACGTGGCTTTGCAGGCTGCGGCTGGGAAACAGGAACCTGCGGCCTGGGCCGGCGGTGACTCAGCTTCGCCAGGAGTCGGAGTGGGACGTAGGCCTGGGCCAGGCTCTGGGCCAGGCTCTGGGCGAGGCTCTGGGCGAGGCTGGGGTCCGGGGGATGGGTGCAGAAGGCGCACCCAGGAGCGGGTGTGCGAGAGACCTGAGCCGAGCCCGGGGTTGGGGGGGTAGGCAGGGGGAGGGGCTGCTCGCGCTTGGCACTGCCTGCTCCCTGTTTTCCTCTTACACACGCGGGTGTGACGCTCGCCAGTGACCCTGGGCCACGGGACTTTGCAGGGCAAAGCTTTTAAAGGCATTAAAACAGGCCGTGCCACCAGCCGACAAGGCTGACAGAGAGGCAGGGCCCCGTCCAAGTGACGGCGTGAGCCACTGACCCACGCCCGTCGGGTTACAGGGGTGGCACGGGGCCAGCTTAATTGCCTGTAGAAAGCCTCGTGCACAGCGCATCAGCAACCTCAGGCTCCGGAACATTCCAGAACGTTCCTCCCCACCCCCGTCTTCGGTCATTTGCCCTTCCTCCCCCACGTATGTCCCTGGGCTGTTCCAGCTGCAGCTGCGCTGGTACACTTCCCGTCTTACAGCGTGCGCGGAACAACCCGCGTGGCTATGAAGAACCACCGGGGGGTGCTCTCGAGGACAGAGTGGGCGGGCAGCCGGGCAGACCTTTCAAGCTAAGAGCCCACACCCAGAGGACGGCCCCTCTGGCCTCAGCCTGCAAAGCCTGTTCGCTGATGGGCCCCGGGGTGGGTGCACCCTTACCTGTTGGTCCCTGTGCTCCCGCCGCCATCACCGTGAGTGCCAGAGAATTAAAAAGCCTGCAGCACACAGCAGGACATCAGCAGATGCGCTGGGCCTGGGGGCGCCCGGGCTGAGTCCCGCCCATCGGAAGGCTCCTGCCTGTAGGGGGATCGGGCCCTGCCTGGCTGGGATCCTCTGGCCTCCCGCAGCTCTCCCCTGGAGCCCCGAGGGTCTTTCTGGAACTGTCTTCACTCCGTGTTTTCTGTTTTGTAGTGATCAGGGCCAAAGCGGTCAGCGAGAAGGAGGTGGACTCTGGGAACGACATCTACGGCAACCCCATCAAGAGGATCCAGTATGAGATCAAGCAGATCAAGGTGAGCGCCGTCCCCGCCCGCACCGCACGGCCTGGGCCCTGGCACACGGCGGCAGCCGGGCCGGTGCTGGGAGCAGGCGGGCCCGGTACCTGGCTTGAGCCTGGCCCGGCCCTGGCTGTTGCAGACAACTGGGGAGTGAACCAGTGGATGGAGGGGCTCTGTCTGTCGCTCTGCCTTTCAAATAAGTAAATAAATTAATACTTTTTGAAGTCCCAGGTGGCGTGCTGCGGCCAGTGTAGATAGAACGGGGGCCGTGACCTGGGCCCGAGGCTCGGCTGTTGAGAGGGAGGGAGAGGAGGACCCGGGCTCTGGCCCCCGGGCTCCGGGCGGCTTGGTGATACATAGCAGTTGTACCACGGGACTGACTTCTGCTGCAGAAACAGAAAGCAGTGGGAAACCAAGGCCTCGGAGGGGGAGGTCCATGGAAGGCTTACTCACGCCCGGTCGGGCTGCCTGAGTCTGTTTATGAAACAGGAAGCACAGGCCGGGCCCGGGTCCTCAGGGGGTTGCGAAGGCGTCAACGCCCGCCCGGTGCTCTTGGTGAATGACGTCGTTGGTTGATGTCGTTGGTTGGTGTCGCTGGGGTGTAGCTTCCCGATCTGCCGTGACATCAGGAATGACCTCGCTCCGTTTGGGGTTGCTCACTGAGACAGAAGTCCCCACCGCCCCCCAGAGTGCTCAGAAAAGCCCCTTGTCACCTGGGCTGCGGACGGAACGGATGTCAGGAAATCAGACCCCCTTCCCCGGGGGGCCACGTTCCCGTCAGCTTTGTCGGAATTCCTGGAACCATGCAAAAGTCTGGGCCCCCGTGGTGGCCAGAATCCCGGGGAGACACACGAGCCGTCCGAGGAGGGTGACCGCGCTGGGCCTGCCTGCCGAGCACAGAACCCCCTGGCCTCGCCCGCGGGAGCAGGGGTCGTCCGCCGGGCTCTGTGGCTGGCACGCATCCGGCGGTGCCCCGGGTGCAGGCCGGGCCGCCCTGGGAGGTTCTGGGCGGGAGCGGAAGTCGCTGCTCCGCTCACCTCCCCCTTGTCTCTCCAGATGTTCAAAGGCCCCGACAAGGACATCGAGTTCATCTACACAGCGCCGTCCTCGGCCGTGTGCGGCGTGTCCCTGGACGTGGGAGGCAAGAAGGAGTATCTCATTGCAGGTGGGTACGCGTGGGGGCCCCCGCCAGAGCCCGCCCGGAGCGTCAGGCCCCGGCCCTCTAGATGAGAACTCCGGGGGGGGGGTTTCACCCCCTGCGAGGGTGCTCCTCCCTGCCGGCGCACGGAGCCACTGTGGCGTGGACCGAGGCAGCCGTGCCAACGGGAGATCTGGGGCTGGTGGACACAGAGAGGTGGGCGGTCCTTAGAAGGGAGGCCAGTGTGGGATGCTGGGAGCACACAGGCGCGGACCTCTTGGGCGTGTCGGGGGTGGGGGAGACCATGCCCGTTGCCCTGGACTGCGTCTGGCGTCTGTTTGGTGGCGGGTGGGGCGTGTGGCTCTTGCCGCAGCAGAAGTCTGCACACGCACTTCGCACGGCCGCGATTTCCCGTTTCTCAAGTGGATCCCAGGAGTGGAACTGCAGGGCCCTCAGACTGCGGCTGTAGCCACTCGGGGAGCTGCCAGACCGGCTCCGGGTCCTATTGTTCTTTCACAGAGGAAAATACGATCACAGGGAGAGAGGGGCAGGGGGCCGGACGCCCCAGGGTGCGGGGATCTGGGGGCGCCAGGGCGAGGACGGGGTCTGGTGGTGTGCACACGGCTGTGTGGCTGCGTGGTATCTCCTTTTGAATGCTTGGCTGCCTTTGCTAACCTTTAAAACCCATGGCGTCTGCTGCTGTACTGAGCAGAAAGTAGGATCCGGAGAAGAGGGAGAAGTGGCCACACCTCCGTGGTGCAGGGAACCCATGGCCCTAACAGTCCAGCAGCTTCCAAGTCCTCTTGTCCCGGCCCCAGGACAACCTGGTGAAGTCCCTGTCTCTCCACACTGCCCTCTAGGGGCCTCTGGTCGAACTGCAGAGCTGCAGGCGCTTCTCTCAAAGAGAGGGGCCGGGAACAGGTGGCCCCTGGGCAGTCCGGTGGCCTGGGACATCCGCGGCTGACTCCTACACCAGGCCCTCAGGCACGTCCTTCCCCGGGCACTGCAGTGGTGCAGGTTTGACCCAAACTCTTGGCGATTCTGTCCTCGCGACTCCTCGGGACAAAGGCGCTTGTAGGTGCCCATTTCACAAATGAGGAAAACTGAGGTGCAGTCGCCTGCTGTGGCCCCGGGCGAACATCGAGAGCTGCTGGCACGGCTATCGGGAGCCGAGCACCCAGTTTGCAGTTTGGCGAGCTGGCGGTGCCAAGTTGAAGCCGGCTGTGGCGGGAGCATTTCTGTGGCTGACTTCGGCCGGTGCTGCAAACTGGAGCTCCTGCCCCGGCCGGGCGGGCGGGGCGGCCTGCGGGCTCAGCTCTGGTGCGGCAGCCGCAGGCGTGGGCAGCAGCGGGGCCGGGCTCCTTCGGTGCAGGCTTCGGAATTCTCAGGACCCTGCTTCTGACCCAGTGCCCACTCAGTTCCCTGGGGAGCTCGGGAAGGCCCAGCTCGGGGCCTGCGCATCCGCAGTCCAGCGTGAAGCCGGGGCGGGGGCAGCGTCTGCACAGAGCATAGGAGGAGCGGCCTTCCAGAGCTGCTGCCGCTGGTCAGCCCAGGCCCTGCGGGGCTGGCGCCCGGGCAGGACCACCCAGGAGCTGAGCGAGGCCCAGCAGTCAGCAGCCCTGGCCCGAGCGCCCCCGTGGTGTGTGGCTCAAGCCGCAGCCGCGTCCGCTCCACCTCCCCGGGGTCCCGTGCCGCCTCTGTTTTGCCTGCTGACGCAGTAGTGGGAGAGGCCGCTAACACGGAGCGCGCTCTGTCCGCGTGGAATGTTCTAGAACCGTACGGGGAGAGGCCTGGCTATGTTCTCTGTCACACGGGTGCTCAGCCCCTCGTGTTTGCTATCGAAGGTTTTTGAACGAGCGAAACGTGAGAGGCCTCCCTCCCCGAGTTCGTGGACAACGCAGGCTAAGGAAAAGCCGTGTGGACTTTTCCACCACGGCAGACGCATCTCTGGATTAGTTTTTTTTTCTTTTTAAGATTTACTTATTTATTTTAAAGTCATAGTTACACAGAGAGAGAAAGAGAGGCAGAGAGGGAGAGAGAGAGAGACAGAGAGACAGAGAGAGAGGTCTTCCATCTGCTGGTTCACTCCCCAGATGGCCGCAATGGTCGGAGCTGTGCTTATCCAAAGCCAGGAGCCGGGAGCCTCCTCCAGGTCTCCCACGTGGGTGCAGGGCCCAAGGACCTGGGCCATCCTCCACTGCTTTCCCAGGCCACAGCAGAGAGCTGGATCGGAAGTGGAGCAGCTGGGACTCGAACCGGCGCTCCTATGGGATGCTGGCACCACAGGCGGTGGCTTTACCCGCTGCGCCACAGCGCCAGCCCCTGGGTTCGTTTTTTTCTCCCAGCTCTTTGAGGTCGTCCCTAGCGTGTGTGCAGCGATGTTGCCACACAAGGGTCTGTCGCTGTCCCCACCTGAGCGAGGAGACAGTCTCAGCTGGCTGAAAGCTGGGACCGCCCACATTCTGGTCCCACGTACAGCCGACGTGCCAGACGTCTGAAAATGCTGTCACGGCGACTGCGTACCTGGCACCAAAGCCGCCTTCGCACTCAACACCCAGAGCAAGCCGAGCGCTTTAGTCCCATGGGATCGATAAAGGGCGCGTGGCCCGCTCCCGAGGAAGCTGCAGTAGAAGATAGACAACGTGAAGTTGGCCGCTGTAACCTTGGAAACTCGCAACTCTGGGCCCAGCGGTTAACCACCGCCGGCTCCCGCGTGAGTGCCGGTTCCAGTCCCGGCTGCCCCACTTCCCATCCAGCTCCCTGCTGATGCACGTGGAGAGTGGTGGGAGACCCAGGGGAGACTCCTGGTGCGGCCTGGCCCACCAGCCGTTGTGGCCCTTCGGGGAGAGAACCAGGGGATGGAAGAGCTGTCCCTCCCTCTGTGTCTCTCTAACTCTGCCTTTCAAATACATAAATCTTTTTAGAAATATTTATTTTTTTATTGTAAGGCAGAGATACAGAGAAATCTTCCATCCTCCGCTTCACTCCCCAAATGCTTTACCAGCTGAGGCTGGGCCAGGCCGAAGCCAGGAGCCAGGAGCTTCTTCTGGGTCTCCCACGCGGGTGCAGGGGCCCAAGCACTCAGCCATCTTCCGCTGCTTTCCCAGGCCACAGCAGAGAGCTGGATGGGAAGTGGAGCAGCCGGGACTCACACCAGCGCCCGTGTGGAATGCCGGCGCTGCAGGTTAACCCGTTAGGCCACGACGCCGGCCCAGAATAAGTAAACACTACAGTAATAATAGCTCGTGCTCAGTGCTGTGTGACTGTCACTGTTTCCAGAATTTTCATCATCCCTGTCAACCAAAAATCCAGCACTGCTCTGTCCCCCTCCCCGCTCCTACGCTGCTTTGGGTCCCCAAGACTGACTGGTCCTGGAGCTCGGATCCGTAGTACCCACAGCGCGAGTCCTGTGCCAGGGCCTGCTTCCCTCAGCACCAGGTCTTTAAGGCTCACCCAGGAAGTGGCCTGGGTCTGTGGGTGTCGGGCCCCCGGTGGTGCGGCTGTCAGCACCTGCCTTCCCCGGCGCTTTAGCCGGAAGCCGGATTGGAAATGCAGCAGGCGAGACTCCAGCTGGAGCTCACGTGGGACTGCTGAGCCCGGCACCAGCTCCGGTGCAGATGGTTTTTTGTTTTGAATGTGGTGGTCGGCTGAATTCTGCGTGTGTTCGCTGCTGTTAACATTAGCTCAGCACTTCTGCTACGTAGTGTTCCCAGGAGCCGTCGGGGACCTTTGGCGATGTGGCACTCACTCCGTGTCAAGTGGTCATGGTGTCTTGTCGAGAACAAGTCCGTGTAATGGAAACGGAGGCTCTGGGACGCCTGCTCCGGTCCCAGGTTCTGGCGCCTGGCCAGCCGGTGTCCTTGGCCAAGTGGCTTTGCCTGTCTGCCTGTCTGTGCGTACTGGGCGCAGCGGCGGGAGTGTGTGCTGCTGGGGTTGTGGAGGGCGTGGAAGCGGGGACTCCCTGGGGTCTGGGCACCGTGGTCGAGGCCTCCTCGGGGGTGGCGGAGAATTCCAGTACTTCCGCTAGAGGTGGTGGTGATGGGTGCGTGTGGCTGAGCCCCGCGTGGGAGAGGGTGCACCTGCAGGCTCAGGGGAGCGAGCTGGGGGTGCCGCAGGGAGGGTCTCGCGCCCCCTGAGTGGGGCCGTGTTCCGCAGCCTGCCCTGTCTCTGTGCAGACCTTTCTGGTCTCTCCTCCCGAGGCCAGCGGTTCTGCGTCTCCGTGGGCAGTGGGGGTGCAGGGCCTCACTCCCCACTCCGGAGCCCCTCGCCCTCGGCACTGCTCTGGTCTGGCTTCTCTCCCAGGCGCGGTCCAGTGAACGGGGTCCAGTCTGGGCTTTATTTCCTGAGGCCCAGCACCTGGAGTCGGCATGGGGCCCGGTAGCCAGGGGCGAGCCAGAAATCCCAGGGCGGGAGACCCGGCGAGCCCGCGTGGCCCCTCCCCACGGGCTGCTGACTCGGGCACAGTGGGACGCGTGTCCAGGAACGGCCACAGGCCAGGCCCTGTAATTTCCTGCTACAGTCCTCTCCTCTCAAAGGAAGAATAAACAGACAACCCCCGGTTACACATTCTAATTGATCCTTGTTTTTCTGTATCCAGGACAGACAGAAGCAGAATGTTACAACAGATGCCCATATCCTGTGTGTGCGACGGAGTCTGTTACCCGAAAGGCCATCTTCTTTATTGCTTTAGGACTTGTTTTATTATGAGATACATACAAATAAAGAGAGGCTTATTTTATTTCTTTGGAAGGCACAATTACAGAGAGATGAGGTGGGATGGAGAGACATCTGCTGGTTCACTCTCCAAATGTCCCCGACAGCCGGGGCTGGGCCTGGAGCTCCATCCGGGTCTCCCACGTGGGTGGCAGGAAGCGGCTTCCTGGCGTTGGTGGTGAAAGGCCCAAGAGAAGCAGCAGGGAAAGGGAGACGGGAAGCGATCGCTGGCGCAGGCGCCCCTCCACGCCATCAGTCAGGTTTCACTGAGCAGCCGCTGACGCGAGGAGCTGTGGGTACAGAAGCATCTGGGCCCCACCTCTACGCTTCGTGCCTGTGATCTCTGGGGAGCAAGACGATGCCTCAGAAAGCCAGCAAACGGCCCAGGAGGCGTGGATGCTGGTCCGGAGTCGGGAATGGGCAGGGCGGGCCGGGGTGGGGCTGGTGGTCAGGGATGGGAGGAGCCATGATGAAGGAGGAGGTCCTGGGGCCTGTGACTGTGGCACAGCAGGTAAAGCCACCGCCTGCAGGGCCGGCATCCCATGTGGGCGCAAATTCGAGTCCCGGCTGCTCCACTTCTGATCCAGCTCCCTGCTATGGCCCGGAGAGCAACGGAACATGGCCCAGGGGCTCGGGCCCCTGTACCTGCATGGGAGACCTGGATGGAGCTCCTGGCTCCCGGCTCCTGGCTCCAGCCTGGCCCAGTCTTAGCTGTTGTGTGCATTCGAAGAGTGAATGAACCAGTGGATGGAAGATTCTCTCTCTGTCTCTCTCTCTCTCTCTCTCTCTCTGTCTCTGTGTACTGTTGCCTTTCAATTAAATAAATATTCATCATTTTGGAAAAAAGAATAGCCCATCCACAGGGCTTGCGAGAACTGAGCCCCACGCCCGGGCAGGAGTGGGTCTCGTGGGTCGCCCTGAGCCGTGCCCCTCTCTGTGCAGGGAAGGCCGAGGGCGACGGCAGGATGCACATCACGCTCTGTGACTTCATCGTGCCCTGGGACTCCCTGAGCAGCACGCAGAAGAAGAGCCTGAACCACAGGTACCAGATGGGCTGCGAGTGCAAGGTGAGTGACGCCGTGCCGGCCCTCCCGCCCTGCCAGCGGGGCCTCGGAAGGCGTGGCCTGCTCGCCAGCTAACGGAGCGGAGCCTTTGGGCCCAGTGCCGACTGCCCCCAGTGCACCTCTACCAAGGGACACAGGGAAGCTGGGGCCTGGATGGCGAGCGTTCAAGTCTGGCCAAGCAGCCCAGAGCGTCTAGAAGTTTCTAGAAGCCTTCTGGGGAGGGGCACTCGGGAGGTGGGGGGACTGGTCTTGAGTTTTTCTACGAATGTCCAAGTGCAGACACTCGTGTGCCGCGTGAGTGGTGCCTCATGCGTTGTACTTTCCCCAACATTCTAGAAGTTTCCAAGCATGGGTGCACGTAAGTCAGCCCAGGGCGCCTGTGGCAGCGCTGACCCTTAGGTGTGGTCAGGGAAGGTGAGAGATCTGCAGCTGGGGCCGCTGCAGCCCCCAGCCGCCCTGGCACAGGACGCACTGCCGAGCCCCAGGGACCCTGGTGTCGCCAGATGAGAGTCTGGCACCAGGAGACGCCGGGCCAGGGCAGGATTGGGTGGCCGGAGCCGCCGTGGGGCCTCCGTCTTTCCCCGCTGGTGCCAGCCCAGCCCTTAGTGCGTCCAGAGCGGCCCTTCCTTTCTCTCTACACTGACCCTGAACGTGGTGCCCCTGGCTGCCTCGGTTCCTTTGGTAAAATACCAGCTGCCCATCAGCTCAGGGCCCCGGCTTGAGAGCGGGGCTGGGGGCTTTGTATCGGGTTCACATTTGTCTGCAGGGGGGCAGGGAGGCACAGCAGGGTTAAACTGCCATCTGGGGTGCCCACCCCCCACAGCTCCGTGCCTGGGGTCGGGTTCCGCCTCCACTTGCTGCGAATACACCCAGGAAGCAGCAGGCGGTGGCTTGGGTGCTTGAGCCCCTCCCACCCTGTGTGGGAGACCCAGAAGGAGTCCCGGCTGCTGGCTCTACCTGGCCCAATCCAGCCGTTGTGGGCATCTGGGGAGTGAACCAGTGGGTAGGAGATTCCTCCTCTCTCTTCTCATCTACCTTCCTACCTACCTCATCTATCTATCATTCTGCCTTTCAAATAACTACATTAATCTGAAAAAAAAATTCTTAAAAAATCTGTCTCCGGTAGGTTCCAGACCTCCTGTTGTTATGGCTCCCGAGAGGGTGGGCTGTGCTCAGAGCAGAGGTCAGCACCTGCATCCGTGGGAGGTGCACGGGGTCCGTGGGCAGGCGGGTGGGTGCACAGGCTCCCCCCAGACCTCCACTGGCCACGGTTTGGAGAAGGTGGCCCCGGGCGCCTCTGGGCCTGGGTTCGCCCCGAGCGGCCTGGGCCCGGCCTGAGGCTGCCTGCTGTGCCCCCAGATCTCGCGCTGCCCCATGATCCCGTGCTACATCTCCTCTCCGGACGAGTGCCTCTGGATGGACTGGGTCACGGAGAAGAACATCAACGGGCACCAGGCCAAGTTCTTCGCCTGCATCAAGAGGAGCGACGGCTCCTGCGCGTGGTACCGCGGCGCGGCGCCCCCCAAGCAGGAGTTTCTGGACATCGAGGACCCGTAAGCCGCCGCCGGCAGCCCTGTGGCCGAAGGAGAAGCCTGCGAGGGTTTAGCCTGGTCCGGCTCTGGTATCCCTTTCTGGAAACAGCATGAATAAAACTGTCATCCAAGTGGGTTCAAATCCGTGTGCTTCTGCCCCCGCCCCCGTCCCTCTCCAGCGTGGCTGTGGGTCTGGGGGCAGAGGCGGGCTCCCTCTGCCAGCCCAGGTCGCGGGCAGGGGCGGGACACACGGACTTCCCGCCCAGGCCCCACCTGGCACCATCACCAACGCCAAGCAGGCGGCGCTGAGGGGGTCTCCCTGGCCTGGCGTGGGCAGAGCCTGGAAACACGCGCGTTGTGGCAACTTCTGAGGGTCGTTGCGAGACTGGTAGCAGGCCTACCGGGTCCCTCTCGTCTCAGGAGGGGCGTGTCCCTTGTCTTCTGCAGCGACCACCCCTCTGACCAGGGTGGCACTCCCTGCCCCCAGCAAGCCCCCCACCCTGCCCCTGGTAGCCCCAGTGTCTGCCTCGGACCCCCTGCGCCTGTGACTGCCGCACGTCCAGGGGCGGCCCTGGAGCCCCGGTTGAGCCCATGAATTCGCAGAGTCCTGGGAGCCTCCCTCTGGGGCTGTGTACAGACGTGGGAGCAGGAGCCCTCTCTGAGCCACTTCCAGCTTCAGCCAAATCATTGGGCCCCTCCCCTCCCCCACCCCGCCTGCACTCCCCAGCCCCTGTGCCGGGGCGGCCGTCTGGGGGCAGGTGTCCTGGGCGCTTCCCCTTCCCATTCCAGCCAGGCGGCCTGGTTGAGCCGCAGGGCTTTGCTTTCCCTGGGGTTGTGTGTGGCTGGCGCCAGCGACCGACTCTGCTCCGGGTTTGCCGGTCCCGAGGACGTAAGAAGCCGGTTTCGCTGGGTGCCGCAGGGCGCGTAAAACAGGCGTCTGCAGGTGGACGAGGTCCCGCCTGGGGAGGGAAGCCCTCGGGACACCCTGCCCCTTCCTTCCACGCCCCCAGGACGCCGTGGCCTGGTGGAGAAGACATCTTATTTTTGTAAAGACGAAGTTTCAGATCATGCGTGAACCCCTTACAAGAGCGCCGCCCATGCTTCTGTTTCTTGTAGCACAAGGATGACCCAGTCTCAGAACCTCACGGGAGCTCACTTGTTCCCTGCAAACTGGTCTTCCGGTTCCCAGGATGGGGGGAGGCAGGCAGGCTTGCTCGGTGAGACAAAGGTCATCTCTTTCTGCCCTCCCGCCTGTGTGGTAGAGAGAAACCGTCCCAAGGACACGCGTGCACATAAAGCAGCGTGCACACGTGTACACGCACACCGTGAGCCCGGAGCCGGGCAGCCCACGCGTGCGCCTCCCGCACAGCGGCTCCCTGGGCGTCGTCTCCCAAGCCTGTCATGTTCTGCAGTGACCCCAGAGCCACGGCGTGAGACTCCTGGCCCCCGAGGGGCACGCAGCCCCCGCGCCCACCCGGGACCTGGTCAGCACAGACCGTGAGACCACCCAGGCACCAGCCCCCCACCCCCAGAGGCAGTGTTCATGCTGTACAGTTCTGTAAAGCCGGTGAGATGTCCAGTGGACCAGCCCCTGATTCCCGTGTAGGCACCACCGCCGGGCCCTCCCGTCAGTATCACCCCCGCCCCGTTTGCTTCCTGTACTGGTGATATCATATGTACCATTGGCTCCTGCTTCTGCCGAGTTCTGCCGAGTTCTGGTTTGTCCCTGACATCGCTGTAACCCCTCCCGTGCTGTGTTTCCGTTGCCCTTGGTAGGTGTGAGACTTGCACTTTGAAAAGAGGTTTCTGTCTGGAGGAAGCACTTGACCCGGAGTGGAGGGCGTGGCGTGGAGCCGGCCTACGGCGGTGGGTCCTTCATGCCTTGGCTTTGTTCTGTGAGCACCCCTGCCTGCTCCATCCCCCACCCCCTTATTCCCCCTTTGGTTCCATTATTTCAAAGTAAAGGCTCTTTGGGTAAGTTGGCTTTCAAAGATGGCCTCGCTATCCGATCTTGTATCCACGCTGAGCAGACAAAACACAGAAGGCGACGTGCCCGTGGCAGCCCCGAGTTCGCGCGGATCCGGTCGCGGTGGATGGCTGCCCTGTTGTGTATCTCCATTTGGCATTGTTTAATTTATGTTATAGTCTGAGCACTACTCTGTCCTCCCTCTGTTCTTTTCATCATGCGAACAACTCGAAAATATTGAAAACGAAGTTTACATTGTAGTACGTTCAGATCTCCGCTTGATAAGTATTAAGAGCTATCGGACTTGCTGCCGTAATTTAAAGCTTTGTTGATTTTGTTTGTGTTGGGGTTTTCTTTGTCGGGGAGCAATGTGCTGATGCTGGAACACGAAGTCTGTGCCGGGAACGCGTGTGAGAGTCGTTGAGGGTCCACAAGCAACTGCGCATGTCTCTGACGCTTTGTATCATTCTTGAGTGATCGCTCGGTCAATGGACAATAAACAGTGTTATCAAAGAGACCGGCTCTCCTGTGTGGCTGTGTCCCGGGGGCTCTCCTGTGTGGCTGTGTCCCGGGGGCTCTCCTGTGTGGCTGTGTCCCGGGGGCTCTCCTGTGTGGCTGTGTCCCGGGGGCTCTCCTGTGTGGCTGTGTCCCGGGCGCCACTGCCGCTTGGCAGCCTCGGACTGGGGCTGAGCAGCAGCAAAGCTCCCGCCCCAGCCAGAAAGAGACAGATCTTGCTTTGTCCCCAAGACAGACAGGAGTCTGGGTGCTCTCTGGGGGGTGGGGGGCCGTGGGGGGACAGCAGAGACAGGGCTGACAGTGTGGTTTCAAAGATTTATTTATTTGAAAGGCAGAGTTACAGAGAGGCAGAGGCGGGGGTGGGGAGAGAGAGAGAGAGGGGTCTTCCATCCACTGGTTTACTCCCCAAACAGCTGCAACAGTTGGAGCTGAGCTGATCCAAAGCCCGGAGCCAGGAGCTTCTCCCAGGTGTCCCACGTGGGTGCAGGGGCCCAAGGACTTGGGCCATCTTCCACTGCTTTCCCAGGCCATAGCAGGGAGCTGGATCGGAAGTGGAGCAGCCGGGACTCGAACCAGCGCCCATATGGGAGGCCGGCGCTGCAGGCCAGGGCTTCAATCCACTGTGCCACAGCGCCGGCCTCCAGAATGAGAGCTATTTCTGAGGACATTTCTGAAATACCTTCACTGCACCGGAAGGACCTAGAATCGCTCCGTTAGTGCCATCAACTGTGGTGTCATGGGCATCATCGTGTCATACACGGTTTTTAATGGTCTAGTGGTTTGACTTAGGATCCGAGTGAAAGCCATGCATGGCAGTTGGTTGACACAGGCTGAGCGTCCCCAATCCAAAAGTTCAGAACTTGGGGCAGGTGCTGTGGCCCAGCAGGGGCAGCCAAAGCTTGGGATGCCCACTTCCTGTGCCGGGGCAGGCCACCAGCTGGAGTCCGGGCTGCTCTGCTGGGTCCAGCAAATGCACCCTGCAAGGCAGCAGACGGTGGCCCAAGTGCGTGGGTCCCTGCCACCTGTGGGGGAGATCTGGATGGAGCTGCTGGCTCCTGGCTTCAGCCTGGCCCAGCCCTGGCTCCTGCAGGCGCTTGCGAGGGAACCAGCAGGTGGGAGATTGTCTGTCTCGCTCGCCCTTTCCGTAGGTGAGAATCAGCGCTTAAAGAACGGGAAGGTTCTTGAGCAGCAACATGGCGTCCTAAGTTGAACTTTCACACTAGACCTTGAGTGTGAAACTCTGTTCCATATTTAAGTTACTAGAAACACAGCATAACGCTACCTTCAAGCTGTGTGAAGAAGGTAAATACAACATAAGTAAATGCACGTAATCTCGGGTGTAGACTTGGGTCCCGTCCCCAAGGTGTCTGCTACTATGGCAGAATCTGAGGTGCGCCCGAGGCATTTCACACGAGGGAGACCCGAGCTGTCTCCCGCGTCTCTTATTCTGCAGGCTCCTCCTCCTTCCCCGCACTGCGTCTCGTGCTGGAAGGATGATCCTGTCGCGGTCCAAACTGTAATCAGAAGTCCAGCTCGAGCCCCCGAGGCGGGTCTACTCGGAGGCCCCTGCCCGCTGGCCCTTGTGCGGGACTCGCGGTGCCAGGCGCAGCGGGAAGGCTCGTGTTTCCCATTTTGCTCAGCTACTGCCTGAACGGCACGAGCAAACCCGCCGATCCTCGCCCACGGCAGGACCCGTGGATGGCTTGTTCCTGGTGGGAAAAGGGCGCGGCCGCACGCCGCAGCGCTGCCGACAGTCTGGCTGCGTCAGCCCGGCCTCGGAACAGGCCAGGAACAGGCCAGGGTTGTGCTCCCAGCAAACATCACACCCGATGTTAGCTTCCCATTTGTTTATGGCTTTGGCTCAAATGTGACTTAAAAAAAAAAAGAAGTTCCGCTGTGGAAAGTTTTTACTCACACAAAGTGCTGAGCGTGCTGCAACAGGCGCACATGTCCACGAGCCAGTGTGGCGTCCGCCATCCCACTCGCGCTCCCTGCAAACAATCGGACGTGTGTTTGTAGACCCACATATGGGGACGCCAGACTGTGAGGGACGCCACCAGACCACATCACTCCACCCTCAGACTTGCTCATTCTGAGACAGAGAAGCAAATGGGGACAACGGTGGACAGCCTGGCTTGCCGGCCCGCACAGCCAGACACGTGGGCCGTGCGTGGAAACACACAGACGCCACGCTGCCCCCCCGAGGCCTGGGGGCAGGGCTGCGTAGGCCCCCTCAAGCTGCGGGCAGAACTGGATCTCACACAGAGTAGTGGGGCTACCCTCTCTCTAGAAGGTTCTTTTATATCCTTGAAAGGCAGAGAAAGAGGGAGGGAGGGACAGAGACAGAGCTGGTCCCATCCGCTGCTTCACGCCCCAGATGGCCTCAGTGGTGGGAGCCGGGCCAGGCTGAAGCCAGCAGTCGGAACTCTGTTCAGATCTCCCACGCCGGTGCAGGGGCCCAAGCACTTGGGTCAACCACTGCCTTCCCAGGTGCGTTAGCAGGGAGCTGGATCGGACGCGGAGCAGCCAGGACTTCCGTGGGCACTCAGAGGTGGGCGCCAGTGTTGCAAGCAATGGCTTAACCCACTGCGCCACCAGGCCAGCCCTCCTGATTACTGATGGCTGTTTTTGTGCGAACGTAAAAAATCAAACGCAAGCAGTGAGGTTCCAGCTGTCACTGGCGCCACCTTTATTACGGGCAATTTGCCTGAGTAGTTCATTTATTGGGATAGAATTCCTGTTACCCTAGATCTACCGTTTTAACCTTTTACACCGCACAGCTGGTACTGGCCAGGACAGCCGTGAGCTCACACGTCCCTCACCTCCGTCTACCCCAGGAAGTCATCATCGCCCCAAAGGAAGCCCACCAGACAGCCCCGCCCCCAACCTGCTTTCTGTCCGTGGATTTACTTATTTGGGACATTTCACATCGATGGAGCCGTACTTGTTGCCATGGCTTTTTAAAACATGCTCGGTTTTAGTATTGTTTCCCCGATTTTACCCGGGCACATGTAACTGCCCCCTTGAAACGCGGCAGCCCTCCCCTGAGTGTGAGACCCCGCACCGGCACTCCCGGGCCCTGCAGGGCGGGACTTCCCCCAGCGTGCTCCCCTGAGACCAGGTAAGGTCAGGCTCTGAGCAGGGCACCAGGGCGGTGGGGGGGATGCTGGCTCCCCACGGTTTCCCAGGTGATCTGGGCCGAGGCCCACACTCAGGATGGGGGGCTCTGGCTGTGGCGCCCCCCGCACAGACTGCACCGTTACCGGAACTCCCGACGGCTGACCAGCAGCGCTGGGTGCCCTGGAGAGCCGGGTCCCAGCCCTGGTACACTCAGCACAGCAGGGCGGCCTGGAAGGAGCCCTCAGCCTCTGAGCCCACACAGGGGTCTTCTGGGCTCCCGACAGGTCCCCCCGGGGAGCAGGCAGCCCCGGCCCCGGCCCTCTTGCCGGTGGGCAGCAGCTGTGGCGTCGTCATCCCAGCACTGAGCACGCCGGGCGGGCGGTGCGTGCCCTGCACGGACGTCCGGCTTTCCCTAGAGACTCCGCTCCCCCGGGGTCCCCACGAGAACATCCCGGGCACCGGTGCTGGTGACTGGTGCAGAGCGCTTCCCTGCAGAGCCCCGCGTCCTCCTGGGCCCCCTCGCCCCAGCTCACCCACCCACTGCCGTCGGGAACGAGCCCTGTGGGCTGCCTCTGAGCTCCTTGTGGCTTCAGAATGGTAGCAGGTTGCACGTCCCCGCGCTGGAGGCCGGGAGTTAGAGATCAGGGCCGAGCGTCTCCCAGGGCTCGGGGTCGGGGGGACCCTTCCCGCCTCCTCCAGACTTGGTGGCCCCGGCATTCCGGGGCTCGCAGCTGCCTCGCTCCCTGGCTGTCTTCACCTGGCTTCTCTGGGTCTCTCTGTGTCCTCTCATCACACAAACGATGGCTTTTATTTATCTATTTGAGAGAGAGAGTTACAGACAGAGAGAGGGAGAGGCAGAGAGAAAGGTCTTCCATCCAATGGTTTACTCCCAAAATGGCCGCAAAGGCCAGAGCTGAGCCCATCCAAAGCCAGGAGCCAAGAGCTTCTCCCAGGTCTCCCATGCGGGTGCAGGGGCCCAAGGACTTGGATCATCCTCCACTGCTTTCCCAGGCCACAGCAGAGAGCTGGATCAGAAGAGGAGCAGCTGGGACTCGAACCGGCACTCATTTGGGATGCCAGCGCCACAGGCAGAGGCTCAGCCCAGTATGCCACAGCACTGGCTCCTAGAGACCCTGTTTCTAAACAGAGCCACCTGCACTGGTACCGGGCTGCATCTGCGGGGCACGGGGTAGGGGGCAGCGACCACTCAACCCTACACAGAACGGCAGCTTCTGGCCTTGGCCCCCACTTCATTCTTGGGGGCCCAGACCTGGCAGGGAGAAGCTGTCTACTTGGGCCTCCTGGGTGTAATCGGTCTCAGTACAAGGTCAGGTCCAAGACTGGGTCTTGAAAGGGCCACACCCCTGCGTTCTGATCCCGGAGGCCACAGACACAGGCAGTGCCCTGGAAAGAACAAGAGGAGGGGGGCAAAGCAACGCTGGATCACGAAGCACCCCTGGGACCGAAAAGAAAACAGACCCAGCTGCTTTGGCAGCATCCCCAGGGAGGAGGCCAGGGCAGCCGGGCTGGGTGGAGGGAGTGGCAGGTGCATGGGGAGGAGGGGCAGATCCAGGCAGAATTCCAGCTGCAAGGCCAGGAGCCGATCCGGTGCTGCAGGAGGCACACAGCCGTCATGGATGGCGGGTGAGGGTTTTGAGAGGCTGTTCCCCCGGGGCCAGCACACCGGCTCAAAGCTTGCTGGCCACGTATGCGTCAACCCACCAAACGCGTCCGGGGAGAAAGTGCCCGGAGCGGAGAGGGTACGAGAGGCCCCACCACACGGCGCCTCCTCCGTGGGCTCAACCGGACCAGCGTTTGGTCTTAATTTGGCTAAGAAACTGGAAATCGCCGGGGTGTAGGCAAGAGCAGCCCCTGGAACCAAAATGCACCTCGGCCGGCGCTGATGTCCCAAAGGAGTGATTCACTTAGAATCAAGCACGCGACGCAGGTCTGGTCAGAAATTGGCACAAATCTTCGGCCTCTCCCAGATGGGTGTGAACTGGAGGGAGGGGCCCGGCGGATTCTGCCTTGACCTCCAGGGCAGGAGCCAAGACGTCTGGGGGAAAACACACCTGATGCTCCTTGAGGTCAGTTAGAATTTGAAAAAAAAAAAAAAAGAAAGAAAGAAAGAAAGAAAGAGAAAAAAGGTCAGCACCGCGGCTCACTAGGCTGATCCTCCACCTGCGGCACCAGCACACCGGGTTCTAGTCCCGGTCGGGGCGCCGGATTCTGTCCCGGTTGCCCCTCTTCCAGGCCAGCTCTCTGATGCGGCCCGGGAGTGCAGTGGAGGATGGCCCAAGTACTTGGGCCCTGCACCCCATGGGAGACCAGGAGAAGTACCTGGCTCCTGGCTTCGGATCAGCGCAGCGTGCCAGCCGCAGCGGCCATTGGAGGGTGAACCAACGGCAAAGGAAGACCTTTCTCTCCATCTCTCTCTTTCACTGTCCACTCTGCCTGTCCAAAAAAAAAAAAAAAGAATTTGACTCATTTTGGTTATTGCCTTTTTTTTTTTTTAACGTTTATTTGTATTTATTTGAAAGGTAAAGCGACGGATAATGAGACAGACACAGAGAAGGGAACACCTTCCATCCGCTGGCTCACTCCCTAAATGCCCACAACAGTCAGGGCTGGGCCAGGCCAGAGCCAGGAGCCAGGAGCTCCGTCCGGGTCTCCCACGCGGGTGCAGGGGCCTAAGCCCTGGGGCCACCACCGCTGCCTTCCCAGGGGCATTAGCAGGGAGCCGGATCGGAGGTGGAGCAGCCGGGACTCGAACCCGTGCCCATGTGGGATGCCGACATTGCAGGCCAGGGCATTAACCCGCTGCGCCACAGCGCCGGCCCCATGTAACTCTTTCAATAAATAAATGTTTTTTAAAAAGTAAACAGAACAGCAGGGATTAGTGTAGGCACCGATCACCTGAGGTTATCTCCTGACGAGAAGACTCCCTGAGATGCCTGAGTGGAAGTGGACGACCCAGAAGCCACAGCGGCAGGGAGCCATGGGGGGGGGGGCAGAAGAGGCCCTGCCCTTCCCTACGCCCCTCAGCACCGCCAGTGCCCCCAGCGCCCCAGCAGCTGGAGCCGTTTGGAAACCAGTTCATAAGGAACCTGGAAACGCTGCCAGCGTGCGTCAGGCCTGCTGTGACCCGATTTGTCCCAGTGCTTCAGGCCAAGCAGGCACCAGGGCGGGAGGGGGAGGCGGCCCTGGGAGGGGGGAGGCCCCCCTGGGGAGGGGGAGGCCGTCCTGGGAGGGGGAGGCTGTCCTGGGAGGGGGGAGGCCGCCCTGGGGAGGTGGAGGCCGCCCTGGGGAGGGGGAGGCCACCCTGGGAGGGGGGGGGAGGCCGCCCTGGGGAGAGGGAGGCCGCCCTGGGGAGGGGGAGGGGGAGGCTTCCCTGGGAGGGGAGGCCACCCTGGGAGGGGGGAGGGGGAGGCCGCCCTGGGAGGGGGGAGGCCGCCCTGGGGAGGTGGAGGCCGCCCTGGGGAGGGGGAGGCCACCCTGGGGGGGGGAGGGGGAGACCGCCCTGGGAGGGGGGAGGCTGCCCTGGGGAGGGGGAGACCGCCCTGGGGAGGGGGAGGCCGTCCTGGGAGGGGGAGGCTGTCCTGGGAGGGGGGAGGCCGCCCTGGGGAGGTGGAGGCCGCCCTGGGGAGGGGGAGGCCACCCTGGGAGGGGGGGGGAGGCCGCCCTGGGGAGAGGGAGGCCGCCCTGGGGAGGGGGAGGGGGAGGCTTCCCTGGGAGGGGGAGGCCACCCTGGGAGGGGGGAGGGGGAGGCCGCCCTGGGAGGGGGGAGGCCGCCCTGGGGAGGGGGAGGCCGCCCTGGGGAGGGGGAGGCCACCCTGGGGAGGGGGAGGCCGCCCTGGGAGGGGGGAGGCTGCCCTGGGGAGGGGGAGGCCGCCCTGGGGAGGGGGAGGCCGCCCTGGGGAGGGGGGAGGGGGGAGGCCACCCTGGGGAGGGGAGGCCGCCCTGGGAGGGGGGAGGCCACCCTGGGAGGGGGGAGGGGGAGGCCACCCTGGGGAGGGGGAGGCCGCCCTGGGAGGGGGGGAGGCCGCCCTGGGGAGGGGGAAGGCCGCCCTGGGGAGGGGGGTGCGCCCCTTCCTGGACACGGTGCCTTGCAGTGCGCACGGGACGTTCGCGGGCGCTGTCCAGCACCCTGCTTCCAAGGCCGGGCGCTGGGGGAGGAAGGGTCCGCACGCCCAGAACTGGAGTTCCGACTGTGGTTACGGCCACGGCCCGCTCACGGGGTAGCTGCTTGTTTTACTTAAAACCTCCAAATTATCTCCCAAACCAGTTGCATCATTTATACTCCCCGAAGGCTGGGCCTCTCCAACACCGAGCCCCGACTTTTATCCTGGCGCGAACTGTGCCCGTCCCGGGTCTCTGGAGCCCTGAGCCGGGAGGGGGCGTGTGCCCCCAGGGTCCCGGGCCCGGGGTCCCCCGAGGGTCCCCGGCTGCACTTTCTGGCGACTGCTGCCTTGGGGTGAACTCTGAGGACACGGGTTCAAACCTCGCGCCCAGCGGGTTGAGCTGCCGTCCTGGGTTTCCCCCCTGTAGCACGAGGACGAGGACAGGGACAGTCCGTGGGCTGCGGAGACTGTGCCGCGGTGACCGGCTGGGTCCCGGGGACCAGCAGTGACAACTACAGGAATCAGAGGCGCCGCGGGGCGCCCCCAGGTGCGGGAGGCCTGGGTAAGTGCCCCAGCACCCCAGTCTTGAGGGCAGAATTGGCGGACCCAGCTGCGCCCACCGTCCACGCACCCCCCCACCCCGCAGGCCCGGTCTGAGTGGAGCGGAGCCGGGAGCCGCGCGTGGACGGGGTACAGGCTTCGCCTCGCACGGCTTGTTTGCTTTTGCATTTTTTAAAATATTTATTTGAAAAGGAGAGTGACAGAGAGAGAGGGAGGGAGATCTTGAATCCGCCGGTTCACTCCCCAAATGGCCCCAACGGCCAGGACTGCGCCGGGCCGCAGCCGCGAGCTTCCTCTGGGCCTCCCGCGTGGGTGCAGGGGCCCAGGGACCTGGCCCGTCCTCCGCCGCTTCCCAGGCCGTCAGCAGGGTGCTGGACCGCAGGTGCGGCAGCCGGGACTCGAACAGGCGCCCACAGAGGATACGGCGTGCCAGGCAGCCGGCCCCGTGTGCCCTGGGGTCCCCGGAGTGGCGGCGGCCAGCCCGAGACCACCCTCGGCACCCCTGCCCACGCCGCGCCCACCGCGGGGACCGAAGCCCAGACGCGCCCAGAGCCCCGCGGGGCCGCCCCGTCTCCCCTTCCGGGGCGGGGCTCGCTCCTCTGCGCACCCGAGCGCGCGCAGCCCGCCCGGCGCCCCGCCCACCCGCCCGCCGACCCGGAAGCGCGGCGCCCGCAGGAGCTCGCGCGACTCGGCCTGGGGGCGGGGCGGCTTCGGCTCTGCGCGCTTGCGTCACGGCGTAGGCGGGCGGGGACGCGGCGTGGGGAGGTGACGTAGGCGGCGCGTAGGGCCGCAGTGGGCGGGGCCGGGGCGGGAGGGTCCGGGCTAGGTCCGCCTCCTAAAGGCTCCCGGGCCTTCCGGCGGGAGCACCGCGTGGCGGCTGCGCGCGGCGCCTTTAAGCGCCGCCGTGACACGTGTGTGAGGCGCCGGAGGCCCGGATGGTGCTGTGAGGAGCCGCGAGCCTGAGGCCAGCGCCGCGCGGCCTGAGGCGGCCCGGCCGAGAGTCCTGGGTAGGCTGGGGCTGCATCGGGACGCGGGAGGTGCGTGGGCACGGGGGCGCGCCCGGGGACGGCGCGGGTGCGCGGCGCAGAGGGGACCGGGGGCCCGGCGGCGCTGTCAGCGGGGGTCTCGGAGGGCCCGAGGACGGCTCCAGCGCCGGGGCCCGCAGCTCGCTGGCGGGAGACTGGACAGGCCGAGCGGGCCCGCGCCGGGACGCGGGGCGCAGGGTGGCCCGCGCCGCAGGTGCGGGGTCGGGGAGCGCGCCTGGGGGCGCGGGGCCGGGCGGGAGTGGCGTCGGCAGCCGGGGGCGCCCGCACGCCCGCGGCCCGCGTCGGGGAGAGGCTCCCCGGCTCCCCGGCCCCGGCTCTGCCCGCAGCTCGCGGTTGAGCCCCGGGAGCAGGTGGCCCTGGAGCGGCGACTGTGGAGGAGGAGGTGGGGGCTGTGTAGGCCGAGCTGGCCCGGGGGCTTGCGGGGGGCGGCTCCCGGGCCGCGGCGGTGTCATTTTAAGGTGACTGCTCGGAGCGAGGCTGACGTCACGACTCGGAAAGTTGCGTGTGTCCAGTCTGACCTAAGCGGCGGGGCTCGGGGCTCCCGCGCCTTAGCCAGCCCCTGCGCCTCGGTGGTCGGCTCGGGAGGCTTTGCGGGCCCTGTCGCACCTCGGGGTCGGGCGGAGTAATGGGCGAGAAGCTTGCTGTGCACGACCCCGGGACGGGAGGACCCAGACTGGCCGGAGGGGGCCCCGAACCCCTGGTGCCCGCCGCGCTCCCAGCGCCCACTTCCGCTGTGTGTACTTCAGTTAAAAAACGCATGCTTGCTTTATTCGAAAGGCAGAATGACAGATGGGTGGGGGGGTGTGTGTGTGTGCTGTGCCCTGGCTGCCCGGGACTCCACGTGGGCGGCTGCTCCCCCAGGCGCCCCAGCAGGGAGCTGGAGCGGAGCGGCTTCACCTGCTGCCCTGTGACGTCAGCCCCGAAGGACTTCCGGTCTGGGCGGTCACCGTGATGGTTTTAGCTGTGGATCCGCGCAGCGAGTGAACCCACGAGCTTGGAGACTTCAGCTGAATGCCCCTGAGCCCCGGGCCCGGGAAGTGCGTCAGGCCGGAGGGGACGTCGCTGGGCGGGGGTTTTCGGCCCCTGACTTTCTCGGTTTTCGGGGTGAGGACACGGAGCGGCTGGCCGTGGTTCGCGTGTCTGCAGGGGCAGTGAGTGCACCTGTAACTTTGGTGACTCTTCCTGGTCGCGCTCACAGCCTGGGCCCGCGCCTGTCGCCGTGTGTGACGGTCTTGCTGGGCTCCCCACGGGCGCCGACACCTGTGCTGAGTCCAGGAGTGCCGGTTCTGAGGGCCCAGGACAGCACCTGGCCGGTCAGACCCGCTCCATGGTGCAGGCCGAAGCTGCAGGTCTGTGTAGACACCCAGGTGGGCCGCACGGTTCCGCCCTGGTTACAGCCTATGCCGTTATCCCCGAGACCCAGCCGGTGCATAGACACTCAGGTGAGCCGCACGGTTCTGCCCTGGTTACAGTGCACCCCGTTACCCCCGAGACCCAGCCAGTGTGTAGACACCCAGGTGAGCCGGCACGGTTCTGCCCTGGTTACAGTGTGTGCCATTACCCCCAAGACCCAGCCGGTGCATAGACACCGAGGTGAGCCGGCACGGTTCCGCCCTGGTTACAGTCTATGCCGTTACCCCCGAGGCCCGGCCGGTGCATAGACACTCAGGTGGGCCGGCACGGTTCTGCCCTGGTTACAGTGTGTGCCGTTACCCCCAAGACCCAGCCAGTGTGTAGACACCCAGGTGAGCCGGCACGGTTCCGCCCTGGTTACAGTCTATGCCGTTACCCCCGAGACCCGGCCGGTGCATAGACACCCAGGTGGGCTGGCACGGTTCTGGCCTGGTTACAGTGCACCCCGTTACCCCCAAGACTCGGCTGGTGTGTAGACACTCAGGTGAGCTGGCACGGTTCCTCCCTGGTTACAGTGCACGCTGTTACCCCTGAGACCCGGCCGGTGTGTAGACACCCAGGTGGGCCGGCACGGTTCCTCCCTGGTTACAGTGCACGCTGTTACCCCTGAGACCCGGCCGGTGTGTAGACACCCAGGTGGGCCGGCACGGTTCCGCCCTGGTTACAGTCCAGCCCGTTACCCCCGAGACCCGGCAGGGACCCTTCGGTTGGTGAGCAGCCTCAGGTCCTTTCCCTTCGGAAAGACTTTCACGCTGGTTTTCTTGCGAGTGAGTGTTGGAGCAGGTGTTTAGGCTGGAGGTTAAGGTGCCCGTGCCCTGCACCACAATACCTGGGTTTGAACTCCAGCTCTGGCTCCTGACGCCAGCTTCCTGCCAGCGCAGGCCTCTGGAGGAAGCAGTGGTGGCCCGGCTGACTGGGCTGTCCCACAGAGGGGCGACCTGGGTCGAGTCCTGTCTCCTGACTCACCCTAGCCCAGCCTGGTCTCTCTCGCTCTCGTTTTTTCTTTTCAAGATTTATCTATTTATTAGAAAGGCAGAGTTACAGAGAAAGGGAGAAAGAGATCTTCCATTCTGGTTCACTCCAAAAATGGCTGCAAGGGTCAGGGCTGGGCCGGGAGCCTGGAACTATCCAGTGCCCCAGGTGGGCCATCTCCCACTGCCTTCCCAGGCACATTAGCAGGAGGCGAAATTGGAAGCCGAGCAGCCAGGATCGCCAGCGCGACTTCATCCCCAGTGCCAGAAGGCTGGCCCGGGACATGGTTTTTTGATGTGGCTTAACTATTTGAAGCTTGGGCTCTGAGCTCCCAGCCGAGGGTGGTGGATCAGTGAGGCCAGTGTGGCGATGGGAGGCGGGGGGTGAGGGTCTTCCTGCCACAGTCTCTGCATCCGCACCTAGGGGCCTCTTCCCAGGGTCCTGTGTGCCCTAGGGGCCTCTCCCAGGGTCCTGTGTGCTCCTAGGGGCCTCTTCCCAGGGTCCTGTCTGCCCTAGGAGCCTCTCTCCAGGGTCCTATGTGCTTCTAGGGGCCTCTCCCAGGGTCCTGTGTGCCCTAGGAGCCTCTGCCTAGGATCCTGTGTGCTCCTAGGATCCTGTGTGCCCTAGGAGCCTCTTCCCAGGGTCCTGTGTGCTCCTAGGGGCCTCTTCCCAGGGTCCTGTCTGCCCTAGGGGCCTCTCCCAGGGTCCTGTGTGCTCCTAGGATCCTGTCTGCCCTAGGGGCCTCTTCCTAGGGTCCTGTGTGCTCCTAGGGGCCTCTTCCCAGGGTCAGGGTCCTGTCTGCCCTAGGAGCCTCTCTCCAGGGTCCTGTCTGCCCTAGGAGCCTCTCTCCAGGGTCCTGTCTGCCCTAGGAGCCTC